TATAGTTTATGACTGGCATGGCTTCACCAAAATATCCAGACAGCACTGCAGCAGAAAAGACAAGGTGTTGAGTAACAGATGCTACGTTTTAGAAATTAAGCAGGAAATGCCCAAGCACAAACACTGATGGTCCGAACAACCCCAACCTCCTGCTTCATTTTCTGTGGAGAACCAGGAAAAACATTTGGAGTTTTTCTTTGATTTCACCAAAACACTGTTTTGCCTAATTCTGTGCTGTGAACATCGTCAGGCTTCAGCAAGCTTCTGAGCCACGGAGACAGAGAGAATTCACACCTGGTGTGTGATTGGCCATCGTTGGACAGCCACACCTCATTTTCTCTTCCTGTCTGTGAGAAAGAATGGTATCAGTGACTCACAGCTTGTCACCTTAAAGATCACACAACGTTCACAATAAGAGATTACTTCATTTAGTTAGATCTAATGTTGTTATTACCAATTTATTTAGTTGACATTTTTTTCCTGGGCAACTTACATTAGTACCCACTCATATATCAGGCCACTGTACTGGACCGATCTGAATGAAAGACCTTGGTCAGGGGGACAACAGCAGCTCCTCCACCCAGGACCAGAACCCAGATGCTTTCAGCAACCAGTCTGGACTTCTGTAGGCCATGTTTCCCTGCAGCCACACACGCTCAGTGTATGCTTGTGTAATTTACAGTATATAGTAAAAATGAGAGAATTACGTACTTAAATAATGTTAACTCTATTTAAGTGCAATTTACAATGTGAGTATCTTTTTTACACTTTTAAAAGTGACTCTTGTCAAACAATATACTGGAAAACAAGCACAGAACTCAGATTTTTATGCATTACCTAATAATGCTTGAAACAATACCGTGCATTCAGGGTAACGCTAAACTATCGTGAATGAGCCGACGTTAAAGAAGGGAATCATAACTCAAATGTACAAATGTACCGCTGACTGCTGGCGGTGATTTAAACCTGTTAATGCATGAAAAATAACTTCACCACCAAATGGCACAGCCTTCCGAGAGCAATACATTTCTGGCTCCGATTCAGTCAGCAATGCCCCAGTGCTACCAGGGTTTATTGCCAGTTTTACAGAACAGAAGTAGCTACAGTTAACCCTGGGTCTATAAAAAAAAATAATTCAGTCCGAAGGAAAGAGAAATTCCATTAGTCCCACACAATTCTGTCTCTCTGGCAGGCTGAGTACTTTACAAGAGTAATGTGGCAATTCGCATAGCTCCGCTACACCCAGAGAAAGGCCACATTAACGTCCACCGGTGACCCCTGTCACCCAGATGAAGCGAACGGTCCTGATTTATAAGTCCATCTGCTTAGGTGCTTGGTTACTCATAAAACTAGCTAAAACACCACGGTCCTTTACCAAAGCTCGAACGTTATGGGTTTTTTCCCCTTTGATCAAGCAAATAAATACTGTACAATAGCAAGACGATCAAACAAGAGAGAAAGATATTGTAAGGTTAT